GAGTATGCCGCTCAGCGAGTTATGATGAGTTCTGAGCGCGGTAGGGCGAAATCGCCAACCGATGGCAAAATCGACTCACCGATATAGGAGCATAACGCGTAGATCCAACATAATCCATTTAGCGAGTTTCGCCGCGATCTGAGCGCGGGAAAGCGAAATAGCTGACCGACAGCGGATTGGGATTGCCAATCTAGCTATGCGAGAGGGAAGTGCCGTGTAATGTATCCAGCGAGTTTCGATGCGATCCGAGCGCGGTAAAGCGAAATAACCGACCGTAGGCAGGATCGGATTATCGACGTAGCAACGCGAGGCGGAATGGCCGGGTAATGTATCCAGCAAGTTTCGATGCGATCCGAGCACGGTAAAGCGAAATAGCCGACCGTAGGCAGAATCGGATTATCCGCGTAAGAGCGTAATGCGGAGACGCCGCGTAGTCGATCCATCAATAACCGATGGGTTCCGAGCGCGGCGAGGCAAAGGAGGCAACGCGAGGTGGAGGCAAATCATAACCGCAGTAACGATCCCGCGATAAGATTTAGCATAGGGAATCGTAGCGAGCGGAAACATGTAGAATCTTCTGGATTGTTCCAAGATTCGATTCATCGAGCGTAAACATGTTTGTGCGAAAAGTGAAAGCGAGCGGAATGCGGAAGTATTTGCGCTACTGCGTAGCGAGGCATACAGGTGTTGGCCAGATGTACGGCTGTGAACAAAAGGTGTTTGCGCGCGAAACAACAAGACCATTCACGAGGCTATTGACACAGCTGCCGTTTGTAGGCACAGGTGTCCGGCGATCCCCACTCGATCGAGGTAGGCCAGCCGAGCCGAGGAATCGAGGATTCGTCTCTCGGCTCTCGATGCGAATGGTCTCGCATCGAGGAACTCGTCTCACTTCCTATATTCCAACTTAGCGTATTGTGTTGGCTTCCTGTAGTCAGGAGCATCGGCGTAAGATAGATAAATTAATCTCAACGCGTGCGCTAACAACGAGCGAGAGCGAGAACAATCCCGCTCAACGGTGCGTAATTCCGCGAGTCCATGTAACGTAGCTATAACAAACAAAGAGAAATAAATTATATTTTACCTTTGGTTACGGAAATTACGTGTGACGATTATTCGATGGAGACAACCTGCAAAGACTTACCTATCCCAATCGTAATCTCGCCTGTCGGCCGCCCGAAATCCTCCATCGACGAACACGCACAGAGGCTGAGGCCCAGCCAAGCGGTGCTGTCCAGCAGAAGCGAAGGAAGTCCCTTAAACGGAGAGGTCCAACAGGTCCAGCGGGTCGATCCGGAGACAGATGGGAGCTGAAACAGAGTCGTAGAGAGGGGAATTAGCAAAGTCAGCGAAAGGTTGGTCATTCATCAGTATCTTTCTCGATAGGCCTAGGTTAAAATCGAGTGGCGACCGTGATAATTAATGATCTCGAGGGCGTGTGGTTAATGTCGATCCTCCGTCCGGCTACAACTTAACCCCCAACTTCCGGACATCCCTACTCCTTGTCATCCCCACTTTTGGACATGCGCACTCCTTACCCCACTCTTCAGCTGATGGGTATATAAGGAGGAGCGCTCAGCTGGAGCGGCAGTTGAGTTCGGGAGTTTAGACAGTGTGGACCTGCGTCGCGTGTGTTCTAGTAAGTTTCCTAACCTCAAATTGGGTCTCGGCACGTTTTGGGGAAGCTCCGCGCAGAAGCCATAACTTCAAAGAGGATTTTGGCACGTTTTTGGGGAGCTGCGCAGAAACTAAAGAGTAAGAGCATCTGGTGTTTGTTGAAGGTAAGTCACTAGGTTACTAGATTTAGGGATTTTTTCAAAAAAGCTTAATTTTCATGAAAGAAAAAGTCACTAAATCTAGGGATTTTTTGAAAAAGCTTCCTTTTCATGAAAAAAAAGTCACTAGATCTAGGGTTTTTTCAAAAAACGTCGTTTTCATGAAAATAGAGTCACTGGATCACTAGTTTTAAAGATTTTTTCAAATTTCGCGGTCTAAAATTTAGTTTTCATAAACGTAAAGTCTAGTTCGCGAGTTTAAAGCCTTGTAATTCAAATTTCGCGGTCTAAAACTTAATTTTCATGAACTTAAAGTCACTGTTCGCAACTTTAAGCGTGTCTAGTTGCAATTTCCGGTTTGGAAACTTATTTTCCTATCGTTTTCAGATTCTCAGAGTCGCGAAAGCGACCGCGTAAAGCCGCGCCATGCCGCGATGGCACAGCAGTGACAGTGAGTGGTCCACGGATTCGGACGTGGAAATTGTCCGCGGTGAAGGGAGCCCCGCCCACGACACGTCGGCCGTAAGCGTCTCGTCAACGGCGTCAACGTCGTCTTCGTCATCCTCGTCATCGTCGGACGACGGAACTGGCCGGATACACAAATGGGTCAGGGATCTGAGACCGACAACCGTGACGTTGTGACCGGAACAACGATTGATGATGTTAAAAATCAATTTATAGCCACTTACTACTTGGGCTGAATTATACGGTCGCCACTGTATTTTAAGGCTCAAATACAGAAACCTCTCGCTGTTGCTATGTCCCTTCCTTCCTTCCAGCTCAATGGCCGCCGTGTACTACGCCGCGGACGTGTTCAAGGTCGTCGACCACGCCCTTGTGTAACAACGCGTAATCTTCGGACGTATGGATAGGAATTTCACTGGGATCGCGATTGAAATCACTTATTTTTGTAATAAAATAATTAACAATTTATTAATCTGCTCACTACAGCAATCTCCGTGTAGAAACGGACGCGTTCGCTCGGTCGCGTGTTTCGTACGTCGAGTGTTCTCGAACCGCCGTCTCGCTCTGAGTTAGCACAATCGTGTTTCAGGATTCAATATCCCGGATCGCGCAATCGCTTCTAACAATCTCTCTCAGTATTAACTCACGCTAACAGCGCAAGCAATCAACGGGATAAGTCGGCCGGATTCGTGTTTTACCACGTAATTTCTACGCCACGTAATCGCGCAACGGACTATCCGCGATGAAATATCACACGCGCTTATCGTAGGCGGTAAACGGGATAAGCAAGCCGAAGTCGAATTTGTTACGCGCGACGCTCGTACGTGTCGACGCTTCGATATCTCACGGCGAACTGTCCACGAGGGACGGGTGTGGTTCTCCCACCTAAGCGCGACGCATGCGCCATGATGCGCAAATGGGGGCGCAACTCTGCCATTGGCTAGTCGTGCCATCGGTGTAACTGATACGACTCCTCAAACACTAAAAGTGTAAACATTTGTTCGCTGAGTCGTTCGCGTTGACTCGGCATCTACATTTTTAACGAGATGCCGCTCCTTTAGGTGCAAAGACGCGAATTGGCTATCGCCCGCGCGTGAACCAATCGCGCCGCTGCACCGCGAATCTTCGCGTAAGCGGACACAGAGTCACTAGGCTCGCATCGAGTGACTCTCCACGTATGAAAGTCATTTCGACGAATCCCTACGAAACCAGGTAAGTATGCGTTAAACGCAATTGTGATTAATCTTTTTCTTTTTGTTTCAGGTATCCCGGATCGTTTGAGGAATCGTCTCATTTGGTGTCACCGGCGGTGATCAACGGTAAGTATAAAATAAGGTAAGTATAATAATAGCGACTTAATCTATCGCATGCATAATGGTTAATACATAAGTTGTCTTAATATTGATAGGGAATGTTAAAAAGTTATCAAATTAAAGAATACAAAGTCAAAATGGCTCAATTCCGTGCCAAAGTGTAAAAGTTACGTAAAATATCACCTCTGTCGGTGTTGTTCTCATGCTAGTTTTTCAACGCTACAAGTGTAAAAGGTGTAAAGGTGTATCGCAAAAGTGTAGGTGTGTCATTCCCCTGCGGGATCGTTTAAAATCATAATGTATGTCGTGAATAATGTGAAAAGAACGAAAACTAAATATGGATCTGGAAAATTGATAATTAACGGTACGAATATTATCGTAACGACCACTAGGTATTCCGAAAACTTCATGCTTGATTGTTTCTACGGTAAGTAATGAGATTGTGAACCGGCTTTATGCGAATACACTAGCAGTAGGATCGAAACTATCGCTATCGCGAACAAAATGAATATGAAAACTAATATTACTATTCGGAACTTGTCCGAGTCCATCGTTTAATCTAAATCAATGCCCTCTGGCTTAATATCGCGTGTAACGACAGGTGAATGACTGGATTATAGTGTAAGGATATATAAAAGGGTTTATTTCTGCGTGTTGTCACAATTGTAGTGTAAAAGTGTCAAAGGTGTAAATAAGTGTAGTAATAAATCGTAGCCGTGCTACTTCATGCAATAAAGAAATATCAATGAAAATGAATAGTATCGAATATAGAATAATCTTATGAAAATGTGAACCCTGCTTAATACTATGCGTGTGTTCTTGAAAAATTAATATAAAAATGAAAAAATAAAAATGTACTCGTATAAAAGTTAACAAAAATAAAAATAAAATGTACAGTTTCTGATAAAACAAGAACCACTTGTTTAAAGTTGCTCGTACTCCGTGACCTGCGACTCGGCCGAGTCAGGCTGCTGCCCCTTCTGCACTTCCGCACGTCCGGGTGGTCCAGCGGGCTGAGAGCCCACCTCCAACAGCCTGCTGACCTCCTCGTCGGCTCGTTGGGTCAGGATCTCCGCGATGATCTGGTTATTGGCCTCGCAAAGACCGCTGTCAAGCTCCCGGGTTACCTGGCTGCACTGCTCAGGTACGGGTGTAGCCGCCCTCGGCTCCTTCTGCTCCCTGGCGGTGTTGTTCCTTGCCTGCGACATGTCCAAGGTCTCCAGGCTCGGTTCGCGACTGATCTGGGGAACGGACGTTTTAACGTACGGTTCCAACGTACGACGAAATTACAACGGACATAGACTCGTACATCGTATTATGCGCCACGCTCGAAGCGTTCAAGTGTCGCGTAGTTTCAAAATTTGACGTCAAACCAACTAAAATAATGGTTTGCCAAAACAATAAACTCACGCGATATCTGTGCAAGCGCAAAGACAAACATTTCGGTAGGCTCAACGAGCCCGTCTTTAGCGCCGGTGACGTTAACCCGAGGAGCACATTTTACGAGACGCAAATCGCTTACGTAGACTGCCGTCCGGTGTATTGTCTATTTCAATTGGACAAAAACGCGAATGCGCTGAAAAACATAAAAGAAGAACAACAGCTGCGAACAGCCGTTGACTTGTTTATGTCGTACGTGATCGCGCGAGCCGCTAAAAAACTACCCGCCGATTGCGAGACTGCCCGCGCGGGTATTAAATACTTAATTTCTAGCGTCGACCGAACGTACAACGTGTTCGAGAAGGATTACCAACAGTTCGCCGAACTCGTGACGCACAGACTCGCGAAAGATATCAAGGGCAAGTGCGGGATGTCCTTCGTACGATTTTACGTGGCGGAGCACGGTTTAAGACTGACCAAACACTTGGCGGACGATTTGATCAGGTCGGTCATAATTGACAATCACAGACATATCGATGTCTTGCAAATACACGTCGCGGACGTAATAAGGTGCAACGACGACGCGGCGTTACTGATAAAACTAACGGGTAGTGGACGGCACTCGCTAGCCGGTTGTTTCAACTCGTCGCTAAAGCTTGGCCAACGAATAGGACGATACCGCGTTGGGTATCTCCACGAATACGGTTTTTTTGACAACCACGCCGCGTTGACGCGAGAACCGGCCGTAACGTTCGTACAAGGATACTGCTCGGCCGTGAAGATGGCGCGGGCGGCTGATTCTGGATTTATCGCCGCGTACGCGATATGCCGCGGTTTCTGCGACGGTGGCGCAGAATTCCTTAAGTCTAAAGACAGTCTCCTCCAGTACCTCAACGACATGGAGAATTACGCGGAGCAGTACTTTGCGCGCAAACCGGCTCTCCGCGTAGAGCAAGTACTCACGTTAGACACGAGGCGTCCGGAAAACGCCGTATTTTCGGACGCGATACGTAGGCACCGGATGTTCGAAGGTGGAGTTTTAACGATCGCCACTAGGGTGTTGCTTGACAACGGCGTGATTTTTAAAATGGCTAACTAGGCAAAGCACGTAAAGCGGTGCACTTCGATAGAGAGGCAATTACTATACAACGTGGGCATGTGCACCTACAAGAGCTTTGACACCATGACGTGGGTATCGCCCGTCTTAGTTAATCACGCCATACACGCCGATTACCGGCTTACGTACGCGTTGCACGGTGCCGCTCGCGTTCACAATTATGGAGTGACGCAACGCATGATGGTGAACGGCACCGAGGGAAACTCGGTCGACCGCGGTCTTGTCCAACTCAGACCCGTGCTCAACAACGACACCCATATTTATCAGTTGTACAGCAGTAACATTAAACTGCAAACAATGAACGCCGTGCGTCATCAGTGGCTAGTGATGCATGCCGTCGACGAGCACGCGTACGGCGAAGATAGAGCGACGGCTACCGAAACCGACGAGCTTCTCG